GTCACCACAGCTGGCACATTCTCTCCCTCCCCAGCCCATGTCCAGTTACTGCCTCCTTGCGGAGAATTCCTACATCAAAATGGTGAGTGACGCCCACTCTGCAGAAGGACCTGAGGGGCCGGCAGCCACTGCATGGGTTCCCGAGGCTCCTGGACATCATCCCAGGGCGCTATCACCCCAGCACCACCCAGACCCAGCCGTGCTTCTGGCCGTGTCATTGCGGAGGCCCCGGGCCTGGTCCCTCTCGCACGCCGTAAGCACACGGCTCTGCGTCACGGCAAAGCACGCATTAGCACTCCAGTCCCTGGCGATGAGCTCCCACCCCAGACCCCAGGGCCCTGCCCACCCCACTGACCCCATGCCCTGCACGGCACAGACGTACGACGTCCAGGCCAGCCTGCAGAAGGACAGCCAGGTCACCGTGTCTGTCATCCTGGAGAACCAGAGCAGCAGCTTCCTCAAGAACATGGAACTCAACGTTCTGGACTCGCTCAACACCAAGATGGCCCGGCCGGAAGGCTCGTCTGTGCACGACGGCGTCCCCGTGCCTTTCCAGCTGCCCCCAGGTGAGTGCGGGCTCCTTTTGCCTTCTCCCTTGTCCCCTCAGTCCTGGGGTGACTTTAAGGTCACAAACATCAGGTCTCATTGCTCTTCTCAGAGAGACGCGGTGACTGCGGTGGGTTGCAGTTAGGACCCCCGCCGAGGCCCTGGGCATTCTTTGTCCAGGATAGCCTCACCAATCAGACAGGGCCAGGCCCAGGCCCATTTGGGGACAGTAGCCCCATGTTCCTGCCCCTGTATCCCTGGCACTGTCTGGGTCCTGAGCCCAGCTCCCTATCGGCCGTGGGAGTTGAAAACTGGCCCTGGCGGCAGACGGCCCCGCCGGGCCCCACTGTGCCTCAGGCCCGCCGCTCTCATCCCCACCAGGCGTCTCCAACGAAGCGCAGTTCGTGTTCACCATCCAGAGCATCATCATGGCCCAGAAGCTCAAGGGCACCCTGTCCTTTATCGCCAAGGTACACGCCACTGGGAGCCCACAGCCCTGCCAGCTCCACGTCCCTTTCACCCCCTCCAGTGAGGCGTCCCCAGGGGCAGCAAGCACCGCCCTGGGGTCCCGCACACTCAGCCGCCTCCCCCCCCACAGGATGCCGACGGGGCCACGCACGAGAAGCTGGACTTCAGGCTGCACTTCAGCTGCAGCTCCTATCTGGTCACCACGCCCTGCTACAGGTGCGTGCGCGACTTCGCGGCCTTGGCGGTGGAGTCCGGGGCCAAGGCGTCCAGGGCTGGTCCCAGCCTCCTTGATTTGCCAGCGTGGCCTCTCCTGTGCCTTCACGGGGCTGTCCCCATGTGCACGTGTGTCCTGACTGCAAGGTGCCCACGCGCGTGACCTCCTTTTGCCTCTTTCTTTTTTCCAGTACAAGGGATTGAACCTCTTTGCACTAAGCTACATTCCCAGCCCTTTTTATTTTCTATTTTGAAACAGGGTCTTGCTAAGTCACTTTCGATGCCCTGGCTGGCCTCACAACTTGCAAGCCTTCTGCCTCAGCCTCCCAAGTGCTGGGATAACAGGCATGCGACAGTGCCTGGCTCCCCAGTGACCTCTTTAGAAACTCTGACTCCAAATACAGTTACATTCGGAGGCCCGGGGGTGATGGCTTCGGTGCCAGGACTTTCTTGAGGACAGTTTAGCCCAGACTGTTTCACAAGACTCTCCGAGCCCTCCTGGAGTCTGTGTCTGGGTCCCACCCGTCATCACCCCTTCAGTCCTTTCTCCTTCCCACAGCGATGCGTTTGCCAAGCTGCTGGAGTCTGGAGACCTGAGCATGAGCTCCATCAAAGTGGACGGGATCAGTATGTCCTTCCAGAACCTTCTGGCAAAAATCTGTTTTCACCACCATTTTTCCGGTAAGGAGTGTGATGCCGCCAGCCCCACACAGAGCATCCACACTCGGGGTCCTCAGACCCCACCCGGGCCCAGGCCGCCCCTCTATTCTCCACCTTGGCCGGTGGCCTGGCTTCCTAGGGCCCTCCTAGGGGCTCACTTGCTGGTTCCCTTGCAGTGGTGGAGCGAGTGGACTCCTGCGCCTCCATGTACAGCCGCTCCGTCCAGGGCCACCACGTCTGCCTGCTGGTGAAGAAGGTGAGGGCCGGCCTGCCCCACAGCCCCGCTGGGAGGGAGCAGGCGTGCAGCTCCGGGCCGCTAGTGACGGCGGTCCGTGGTGAGACCAGCTGGCCTCCGTGACCACTCTGGGGGGAGAGATGAGCGCAGTGTGCTTTCACCTGTCACCTGTGTCATCTCAGGGCTCCCTGGGGTGATAATACCCCAGAAAGCGTCTCGAAAACCAGAATGGGCTGGGGCCACGGCTCCAGGCGGAAGCCCTGCCTACACGCCCAGGAGCAGGGGGAAAGCATGCAGGGGTGGGGGCTCCGTGGGGACAGCAGGGGACAGCAGTCAGGGCTGCCACCTCGCGCTTCCCCACCAGGGCGAGCACTCGGTGTCCGTGGACGGGAAGTGCAGCGACTCCACGCTGCTGAGCAACCTGCTAGAGGAGATGAAGGCGACACTGGCCCAGTGCTGAGAGCCGCCGAGCCCCGCAGAGGACGCCCCCATGGACAGACACACAGACACGCAGACGGACACTCCTGGCCTCTTCCCTGTCGTGTGTACTGTCCCATGCCACAGCATTAATTTAACTCCACCGTCGTCCACTGTGCAGACACCCGAGGTCCGTGTTGCTTTGATGTATCTTAGTTTCGGTTGTCCGCCGTCTTTCTGGAGGCCCTGGCCGGCCCCTCAGCGGGGCTCCCCCAGCTCTGCCGCAGGGGCCCCCAGGGAGCAGTAGAACCCCCGGGCCGGGACCTGGTGGGCACCAGGGTGCTCGGCAGACAGGGCAGGGCTCATGGAACCCCTGCTGGCTGCTTTCGCCCCAACCGTCCTGACCGGTGGCATCTGCAGGAAGGTGACAGGTGACTGTCACCCAGCTGCTGTCCCCTGAGCCTGTGGTGGCATTATCCACTGTCTACATGCCCGGGGGCCGTCAGCCAGGTCCGGGATCCCAGCCACAGGCCTGGCCATGCAGAGTCACTGACAGGGAGGGCGAGGACCCTGGCGCTCTTGTCCCACAGAAGGCGGTCTGTGCGGGCTGTTGGGTGTGTGGTGGCAGCACTAGGCGGTTCCCTGCCCCGAGCTCGTCGCTGGGGCACCCCTACGTGGGTCCAGGCGGGGCTGGGAGCCCCACAGGGGAGGCTGCAGCTGCCCATGTCCCCTGGCCGGACCCCAAAGCACCATCTCCGGCACAGCAGCCTGTGGCAGGGTGAGGACCCTTGCCGGGCACTTCAGACTTTCCTCAGAGATGACGCTGTCTGCGGCGTCCTACCTGTTCCTTTTGATGACAATTGTCACTTTAGCATGTAGAGTAATCTATTACAGAATCCCGTGCTGTGATTCTAGAACTCTGAAATTGTATGATGTGTTACATAACAATTATTTGCTATCGACATTCCCGTATAAAGAAGAGAGACATATCACGCTGCTGTAATGATTTTTGTGTCAAGATGATCCAATAAAGTTGCAAAACTGACGTTTGTATGTGCTGTCGCCTGCCTGTCCCTGTCTCCACGCGTCGTGCCCTCGGCTGTGGTCAGCACTCAGCTCAGGGTCACAAGGTGCTGGGAGACTGGTTCCTTTCACACCATCCAGGCGCCTGCCCCACCCTTGGGGACTGTTGCCTCCTCTGCCTTTCTTAGGGAGCCCTCAGCTCTGGGCTATGAGGGGAGGAGCACAAGATCAGAGGCTGCAAAAGGCCACGGGAGAGTGACTGAGCAGGGACAGTGGACCAGAGTCCGCCTGGTTACCAGAAGACAGACACACACACCAGGCATGGTGGCCCACACCGGAGGCTGAGACAGGAGCATCACCGAGAGCTCCAGGCCAGTCTGGGCTATATAAGCAAGTTAAAGGCCAGACCGGACTACACAGTGAGACTCTGTCTCATAAAAAAACGTCTACGAGAGGCTGGGGATTTAGCTCAGCGGCACAGCACCTGCCTGGCAAGCGCCAGGTCCTGAGTTCGATTCCCAGTACCAGAAAAAACAAACAAACAAACAAAAAAAAAGGTCTGGGAGCCAAGGGCCAGCCAGACTGGATGCCCACCCCATGCCAGCGCCCCTCCTGGAAAACTACACTGGCTGAAAACTTCACCCAGGGGCCTCTCCATTCTGCTGACCCCACACTGCTGGGACCCTCAGAGCTCAGCATTGGTCATTAGCACCGCAGACGTGGCATGGTCAGCAGTCCTGCTTAGCCGATGGCCACTGAGAGCAGAGCTGGCTTTGTGTGGGGGGCTCTTGACTTTCTAGTCTGTGGCAGGCAGGGCAGCCCTTGAGCCTGCTACCTACTGGTCTACGTAATGCCCACGCCTCCCGGGAATTGGGGCAGAAGAGCACCGGGTAGAATCCCCCAAGCATCCCCCTAGGGTGGGCACCTACAGACAGCTAGGAAAGCGCCCAACTCAGGTCATAGAGAATGAAAGAGGACCAAAAGGAAACCGCCCAACTCAGGTCAGGTCATGGAGAATGAAAGAGGACCGAGCCCACGCACCAGGCTCTGCCACCCACGAAGAACCGGCCGCAGCTGACCAGTGTCGGTTCCCCTGAGAAAGGCTGTGCGGGGCCGAGCTCTGCTCCCATAGCCAGGGTCCACTTTAAGTGACCTGACCACCACACTGAAAGCTGACCTGGCTTCACCCAGCCACAGCCTTATTTTGTGTCATCAAAAAGAATTCCTTGCTGGGTGCAGTGGCACATGCCTGTCATCCTAGCTACCCGGGAAGCTGAGGCAAGAGGATCACAAGTTCAAGGCCGGCCTGGGCAATTTAATGAGATCCTGTCTCCAAAAAGGGCCGGGGGTGTGGCTGAGTGGTGACCCCTTGCCCAGCATGCACAAGGCCCTGGTTCCATCCCCATCTCTCCTGGCAGCACAAGAACTGTGTCCATGAGAAATGTCAGGCACTTTAATCATAAATGGTCCGGTGGCCCTGCCTGGAGCTGATGCTATACACAAACACAACCCACCCCGCCCTGCCCCAGCCCAGCCTGGCCCCTCTGGGGGCTGGAGGGGACCCGAGGCAGAGGAACAGGCCGGTTCAGGCCAGCTGAGTCCTGGTCCCCACGGCTGCAGCTTGTCAGTGCTCGGTCAGACACTCGGAGGCACTCTCCAAGGTCAGGTTGGCTCCGGGCTCCAGACACGAGATGCTTGGTGCTATCAGACTGGCGACACACAACACCCTCAGGCCTTCCTGGCCTTCCTTCCCTGGCTGGTCTCTGCCAAGGGGCCCTGGGCCACCTCCCAGCTGGGATGTGTGGTCCTGTGCACAGCTGTGTCCCTGAGGGAGTACCACGTGGGGTCCCCCACCATCCCCCTCATGACCCAGGTGCCTGGGACTGTGTGTGACAGGGCATGAGGAGGTCTGCGGCAAAGTGGCCAGTGATCCCTGGTTTTGTGCACCCCAACCCAGGGCCACCTGCTTCTGTGTGACTTCCGTCTCCCGTCACTCACAAGGCTGGGGTGGTTCTGCGTGTCCCATGCGAAGAGATGCAGGAAGAAGAGCGCATGGTTTGCTCGTGAGATGACCACTCGGGGGTTACATGGGTTTGGAAGCAGAACGGCTGGCCGGCAGTTCCAGGTGCACAGGGATCTCGGCCCACGGTGCCTGCCCTGCCCAGCACCTCCACCCATCTGCCCCCACTGACCAGAGGACCCTGCGGCACCCTTTCCCCAACCCCCTACTCCCCTCCTCCAGAAGGCCAGGCCTTACCTCATTCTGGTGTCCTGTCTGAAAGATACATGGGGTTCAGGTCAGATTCCCCAGCTCTGGAGCCCAGGCTGTGTCCCTGGAGCTTCTCTTCTGGGGCGAGGACCACAGCTCTCCAATCAACTCAAGATAAACTAGACCCCTTTTTTCATCCACTACTGGAACCCAGGGCCTTCATGCTGAGCTCCATCTACATCTCCAGCCTGTTTGTTTGTTTGTTTTGGGAATCGAACTCAGGACCTTACGCTTGCCAGGCAGGCAGTTGTGCCACTGAGCTATATCCCCGGCCCCTTGTTTTTTTTTAAAGACAGATTCTAAGTTGCTAAGCTGCTCAAACGAGGTTTGAACATGTGAGCCACCTGCCTTAGCCTCCTGGAGTGCTAGGATGACAGTCATTTGCCACCACGGCTGGCTAGGGTAGACTAGACTTTCTGGGGGCACCCTAGCTAGATGCTCTGTACTCCTCCAGCTGAGCTCAGAGCTCCAAAGAGAAAGGACTGGGGGCTGCCTTCTCCACCGAGGGGACAGGGTGAGGTCCTGCCTCCCTACTGCACCTCTGCAGGCCCCGGGACCCTCGCCAACCCCACAGAGCCCTGAGGTACTCACACACATGCACACTGCCTCTGACAAAACTTGTGTTGGATCGGAGGGTGGGGGACTTACTTGTGCCAATTAGATCTGCAATGATAGCAGGTTTGGAGTTGGGACAACGAGGCCTCAGTCAAGTGTCCCCTCCACGTGGCTGCCCAAAGACCCCAACTCACATATAAATGAGAAGGCCCCGCACAGCCTTCTCCCACTGTGCCGAGGACCTGTGAGGACAGGGGGGTTGGAGGTGGCAACACCCACTGCTCCAGGCCCCACCCTGCCCAGCCCTGAGCCCGGAGCCTGCAGCGCAGGTGGGGCTGGTGCCCGAGCCCTACTCGCAGTTGTAGCCAAAGCACACGACGTGCGAGTCAGAACAGTTGTGACAGGATATGGTCTCATACTGGAAGATCCCTGCAACACATCAGAGGCTGCAGCAGGCTCCCCGGGCCTCCAGGCCAGGCCACCGATGCTTACTCTGCCCCTTCGCCTAGACCGGTCTCACTCACCACAGTGACGCTGACAGTCGATGCGACCTGTGGGAGCACAGGACAAACATTTTTTTGTTTGTTTTTGTAAAATGCAGATTGAACCCAAGCCTTTTGCATTGAGCTATATACCCAAAATACAGTTTTTGAGTCAAGAGGGCCAGGGATATAGCTTAGTGGCATAGTGCCTGCCTGGCAAGCCTGAGGTCCTGAGTTCAATTCCCAATACCAAAAACACAAAACAAAACAAAAACCACATATTTTGAGTCAAGAAATTGCTAAATCACTAATTTGCCCAGGCTGGACTCAAATAGATGATCCTCCTGTCTCAGCCTCCCAGAACATTGAGATGACAGGCATCTACCATGCCCAACTAAGGATGCCACCTTTTTTTGGGGGGGGGTCTTTTTGAGACAGTTTCACTATATAGTTCAGGCCAGCCTTGAACTCACTTTGTAGCCCATGCTGGCCTCAAATTCACAGTGATCTTCCTGCCTTAGCCTCCCAAGTGCTGGGATTACAGGTGTGCACCACCACGCCCGGCTCGATGGCACAATTTTACCAGGTCCAGACTTACCCCTGGCTTTGCCCAGAGGCTCAGAGCCTGTCCCTCAGCTAGAGGGGGCATGAGCACACTTGGGCATCTCGATCCAGAGGGAAGGAGGTCCCTGAGGTGGACTCCAGAGTGGAGGATGGGGACTGCAACACCCCCAGGCTCTCTGGAGATTAGTTTGGCAAGTGCCAGGGAGGTGCTGGCGTGTCCTTCTGGGATGCTGTTCCCTTCCCCTTCTGCCCGAGGGCAGTTGCCAACTCTGAGTCCTGGTCCCCAGCATCGCCCTGCTGTGGGGCGCTGGACAGCGTCCCCTCCTCAGCTCACTTTTGATGATGGCATTCTGGATGAGTTGCACCTGCTCGCGGAAGATGGCTCGCAGCTCATTGGGGAAATACCCTGCCAGAGGCAGAAGGAGGAGGTCAGGCTCGGATGACGTGGGTGAGCAGGTAGGAGGTCCCTGCCTCAGCTTCCCGCACCTTACCAGGGAAGTACATCTTCCCCTGGTACAGCTGATCCATCTTCCGGTACACAGTTCTCGCCACCTGCTCCAGATTCTCCCGGGCTGCGGGTGGGAGGAGGAGGCCGGTGAGCCGCTCTACTAGGCCCGGGGTCCCGCTGGACCGTGGGGCTTCCCCACTTTGGGCTCCACGCTCACTGATCTCCGCCGGGATGGCCAAGTGCAGCTCCCTCATTGTGTCCTGGCTCCAGTCGGCGAGCAGAGCCCCCGACACGGGGATGTCCCCCACCCACCAAGACTTGAGGTTCACGTGGTGGCGGTAGAAAAAGAACTTCTCAGAGAAGTTATTATGGCAATGAAGGCAGCCGTGGGCCAGCGCGGCAGTCATCCCCAAGCACAGTAGTAGAGCCATGGCCCGCCCCCTCCTGCCGCCGACCAACCAACGGCGGCCGCCCGCGCCACGCCCCTACGCCGCGCACCAACTAACGGCGTCCGCTCGGGCCTAGGGCGGGGCCCCTGTCGTGCCCCCCACAGCCACGCCCCTCCGCGGTCTCAACGGGCAACCGACGACGCTGGTTCCGCCCTCAGGTCCCGCCCACGAGATGCCGCTTACAGAGAAGGCTCCACCCCTATTTTGGTACCACTTCCGAGACATCACTTCAAGCAGGCGCCAATAACAAGAGCCAGCTCCGCCTTCTGGATCCGCTGGGCGCCTAGCTCCACAACAGAGTAACAAGCTCCCCCTATAGGTCGCCACCAACTAATAGGGAGTCCGCAAGCTATGTGGTTGCTAGGCAACGAGAGTGCGGCCTAGCGGGCCCGGCCCTCGCTCAGGACCGGCGCCTCCATCCGGGGCTCTCACAGAAGCCGCGCCTCCATCCGGACACTGGTCCTTAAGGGAAGTAGGTCCGGCCCGCGGGTGCGGTTGGGCGTGGCCTTCGCAGAGTCCCTCCGCGGGCGGCGGCAGGCGCGGGCATCCCGAGGCCAGGCGAAGGCGGACGGCGGCGTGAGGCTACCAGGTGGGTGGCGGGAGGACGAAGGCGGGCGGCGGGTGTGGCCGGGATCCACGCGGCTCGGGCCTTCCTCAGCGGCTCTCGGTTCTGGGGCCCCAGAGCCACGGAGCAGGTGCCACGGCGCCCCACATGCTGGCCCTAGGGCTCCTCATGCTGGCCCTTTAATAGTTCATTGAAAAGAGAAGAGACCGAGGAGATTGCAAAGTAGAGTCACAAAACAAATAAGATCCCGGAGAAACGCCGTATGAATTTTTCTTTTTCAGTTTATTGAGACAGGGTCTCATGTAGTTCAGGCTGGCCTTGAGCACACTGTAGCCCAGGGTGGCCTCGAACTCGCGGCGATCCTCCTGCCTCAGCCTCCCGCCTCAGCCTCCCGGGTGCGCCACCACGCCTGGCCCTTTTTTATTTTGAGGCAGTGTCTCCCTCAGTTGCTAGATTGCCCTGTATGGGCTGGAACTTGTGATCCTCCTGCCTCAGCCTCCCATGAGTCTGCCACAGAGATCTGCTGACCGTTGCTTGCTTGGGAGGGGGGCAGTGTGCAGCCCAGCAGAGGTCTTAGTAGCCCCCCTCTGCGGAAGAGCAGTTGCATGAAGCCCCCAGGGCTGGAGTACCCACCTTCTCCGCCTTCAATGCGTTCAGCGTGGAGGCCTTCCCGCCACGGTTTTGACCTGTGAGATGAGACCTGCTTTCCCCTTCTGCTCCGTGGGAGTCCTTCTCGCGCCAGCTTTTTTTCTCTTCACCACGAGAGTGGCCGGATGCTTGTGTTTTGGGGTTGTTCCCGAAGCAGCGCAGGAGTTTTGGGGAGGTGACAGCTCAGGGCAGCCGTAGCGGGGAGAGAGGAAGACCTGGGCCGGTGAGGCGCTGGGAACTGCGGAGCCTGGGTGCTTTCACCTGCCTGGCTCCATCTCTTCTTAGAACTCGTTGATAGGTCGGCTGAGTATACAGTGAGACCAGGGAAACTCCGAGTCCCTGTCCCCCTCTGCCCAGCGTCCTTCCCTTCCCTGGAGTCAAATCACACCCACCTCTCAGCTCAACCTGCAGCTCAGCACCTTTCTCCCTCTCTCCTTCCGTACTGGGGGTTAACTCCAGGCCTTCCCCCTGAGCGGGATCCCCAGCCCTTTTTGCGGGGGCACAGGGTCTCAGTAAATAACCCTGGGTGGGTGGAACTTGTAATCCTCCTGCCTCGGCCTCCCAGAGGGTTGACTTCTAAACACACACACACACACACACACACACACACACACACACAAAGAAAACCCGGCTTCAACAAAAGCAAGAGCTGCATTTTTTTTTCACGGCGTGATTTTGTGTGTGTTTGTGTATTTGGTGCTCAAAATCTAACCTCGGGAAAAACATTCCGCTAGTTCCTCACGAGTTTTTTTTGAAATCATTTCAGTTCCTGAACTTGGTAGAGTTTTCATATTTTAATCAAGTGCACGGGTCTGTGCCATGTGTCACAAGTTCCGGGTCCCAGATCCTCTGAAAAGTCCGCCTTCTGTGCTGTGCCGAGAGCGGGCCCCATCTAGCTGCTCAGCGTGGCGGCTGCAGAACTCCCCGGGGGGAGGCCGGCTGTGAGCCATACTTGTGGGAAGTTCTGGGCTTTCCCCACTGGCGGGCGCGGTTCCCCTTTTCCTGGAATTCGGGGGTTCAGCTGCTTTAACCAGAAAAGGCAAATCCCACTTCACAAATCTGGTGCCGGTTGGAGGGCTTCACTCCAAGACCCAAAGAGGATGTGCTTCCGCTTTCTCAGGGGCGGCCACACCCTACCTCCTCTTCCTTTTTCTCTTTTGCGGGGCCGGGGCTCCCCACTGAGCTGCACCCCATCCCCCATTCTCCTTTGGATTTTCTCAGAATGACTTTTTTTCTTAGGTTCTCAGGCAGGGAAACTAAATGTCTGTTTATTATAAAGATTCCCAGACTGGGGTGGGGGGCAAGGTGGCACAGGTCCATAATCCCAGCACCCCAGAGGCTGAGACAGGAGGATTACAAATTCTACTGCAGTCTGGGCAATGTACCAAGACCTTGGCTCAAAATAAATGAAAAGGGCTGGGCGTGTAGCTCCCTGAGAAGGCCCTGGGTTCATCCCCAGTAAGATTCCCCCACCGAAAAACTCCTGATATCCACACTGTTGAACAGCTTATTTTTTCACAGGATATGCACTGATTGTCCAGCCATACCTGGGCCCGTTGTTTCTTTTTTTCTTTTGGTTTTTGAGACAGGGTCTGGCTATGTAGTTCAGGCTGGCCCCGAACTCACTATGTAGCCAAGGCTGGCCTTGAACGCAACAAGGATTTCCTGCCTCAGCCTCCTAAGTGCTAGGATTACAGCCATGCACCACCACCACCGGCACTTGGCCCCTTCTTTTAAGTTCTGAGGCTGCACTGTCCTAGGTTACTCGAACATCTAGAGGTCTTCTCTGGCCAACAGGCTCCAGCTAGGATTGTCACTGTCCCCTAACCTGGGGGCTGCAGAAGGGACACAGGAGGCAGCTGCTCCTGTGACCAGCTTGGGCCATCCTGGGGTGACTGGAGCTGGGTTCCTGATGCACAGGGTTAACTTCAGATCCCCCACAGGTTGTGCTTACCTTATTCGAAAATCTCCAGTTTGATTCAGAGCTGGTATTTGTTTTTTGTTAAAATGTCGTGTGTGTTTTGTTTGGTTTTGTGGTACTGGAGATTGAACCCAAAGCTTTCCCACTGAGTTATATCCCCAGCCCTTTCTTATTTTCATTTTGAGTCAGGGTCTAGGCTGGAGTTGAACTTAGAGTCCTCCTGCCTCAGCCTCCTAGTGTGCTGGGACTACTGTGCACCATGTCAGAAGCATTGCTACACTGAATGTCCTGTTCTTTCATAGGGTGAGGATAGTAAAGAAGGCTTATCTTCTTCTGGTGTGGGGCTCCGGACAGGGTCTCCTCTCAGCACTGTGGACACTGGGACTGGGTCCTTTTCTGGCGTGGGCTGCGGGGTGCACAGTGACACCCGAGGTGTCCTCAGACATGGGCCGTGGCCCCCGGCTGGGGGTAGGGCAGGTCAGTGCGGGCTGGAGAGGCACCAGCAGGGACTCAGGCTCAGGGCTGTCCAGGGCACTCAGTGCAGCTTGGAGGAAGGGAGGTGGCCAGGGGGGCGGGCAGGTCAAGGCGGGGCCGCCTCTGACGGGGCAGAGTGTGCTGAGCTGGGGGCTGGGCCGCAGGCGTGCCTGTCATCCCAGCACTCTGGGAGGCTGAGGCAGGGGGGTCAAGAGTTGGAGCCCAACCTCAGCAACTTAGCAAAACCGTGTCTCAAAATAAATAAGAGCAGGGTGCTGCTCCGTGAGAGCCCTGCGTTCCTCCCCAGCACCACCGCGAAAACCAAACCAAAGAAGTGTCAGGCTTGTGTCTGTGCACAGGCTGTGGATGCGGGTTTTGGAAACCCCCGGGCAGCTGGGGACCCTAGGCCTGGCCCCCAGGGATGTGGGCCAGGCTGGGGGATCCCCCAGGACCACCTGAGGGAGTCCTTGGTACAGAGGGGAAGTGTTGGGCAAACCTAGAGGTGCGAACCCGAGTCCAGTTTGCCCAACTGGGGTGCATGGGTGGTGCCCGGGGCACGTGTGTCCGTCACACGGGAGCTCCCTGGGACGCTGCTCAGCACCCGCAGGGCCCCAGAAGCCCCACAGAGAAAGCCCAGGCTCAGTGTGTACAGCACTCGGGGGATCTGGTCTAGTGGAAAATGCGCCAGACTCAGATCTAAAGCTTGAGGCTTGAGCCCAGCCCTTAGACCTCCATGCACCTGGGCTCAGGAAAGGCAGCCCACCTCAGTTTCCTGATCTGCAGGCTGGGCAAGTGGCCGACCGGAAGTGGACAGTCTCATGCAAGTGGCCCTAATGGCCCCTGGCCTAGATCGTTGAGTTCATTAATAACAGCAAAAGCTCTCAGGTACAGCCATCTGGTCCGGAGTGAGTGTCAGGAACTGGCAGGGTGTGGTGGTGCATACCCGTCATCCCAGCACTCAGGAGGCTGAGGCAGGAGGATTACTATGAGTTGGAGGCCCCACCTGAACACTCTGTCTCAAAAAACAATAAAACAAAGTGTCACTGAGCAGACCCTAGAGACTTACATTATTCTTTCTTTCTTTTTTATTGTTTTAGTACTAGGGATTGAACACATGGAGCACTGAGCTACACCCCCAGCCTCTTTTTGTTTTTGTTTTTTTGAGGCAGGATTTCAGCATGTAGCCTAGGCTCGCCTTGAACTCCAGCGGTCTTCCTGCTTCAGCTGGGATGACATGTGTGCGCCACCACATGCAGCTTTCTTTTTTTCTTTTCTTTTTTTTTTGTACTTTGAAACAAGGTCTCACTGAGTCACTAAGTTGCTCAGCCTGGACTCAAACTTGGGACCCTCCGTCTCACCCTCCCATGTAGCTGGGACGCCAAGTGTGGGCCGCACCTAACCCTCTGCTCACAGCCATCTCCTCCGTCTTCACATCACCTTCCTCTTCTGTCTATCCAATTTCTGAGTTATGTGTTTGCTTATTTATTTTTTCGGTGCTAGGGTTGGAACCCAGGGCCTTGAGCAAGCCCTCATCACGGGGCCACACTCCTAGATTCACGGTTAACCCTTAGATTGAGGGAGACAGCTCTGGGTTCCAGACTTTTTTTTTATTTTTATCTTCTTTTAAGACTGGGTGTCACTACGCAGTTCGGGCTGGCCTTGAGCTCACTTTATAGCCCAGGCAGGTCTCAAACTCACAATGATCCTCCTGCCTCAGCCTCCTGAGTGTTGGGATTACAGGCATGTGCCGCTATGCCCGGCTGGGTTCTAGACTTTGTTCACAGGGCAAATTCTGGGCTGGGAACATCTTTCAGCCAAATATTGGGGCTGCCAAGCTAGATGCCAGGGTTGCAGTGATCATGAGTGCTAGAGAGCCAATCTCTACACTCAGGCTGCCTACTGCTGCCGCAGGATGTGGACAGTCCCGGAAGGAAGTGGGTGACTGTGGGCTGAGAGCTGCCGCACCTCTGTCCGGGAGGGGTCAGGACAGTTGTTTGCTTAGAGGAACCACTTGTGCTGTGTTTTGTTTTCAGAAAAAAAAAGGAAAAGGAGGGAGTGTGTTGGGGTGGAGGAGTTTGTCATCTTACCTTTTGACCTTCTAGAAGTTTCCGGTGTCACTGGAGTCTTGTGGGTCTGTGGTAAGACCCAAAGGGCCAACAGCTGTTACTGTCGAGTTTTAAGAAGCTGTCAGAAGATCAGAGAGGACCCCAGAAACGGTGACCAGGACTCAGGGAACAGCGGTGAGGAGGTTGTGGCCTGGGGTCTGTCAGGGGAGGTCAGTCATACCTTAGCCATGTATTGCGTTTGTTTCTGACAGAAGCATGTTGGCTTTTGATGGGGATTGTGCCTATCCAAGAAGTTTCTTTTTTTTTTTTTTTTTTTTTTTTGTCTTTTTGAGACAGAGTCTCGATATGCATCTCAGGCTGGCCTTGAGCTCATTTTGTAGCCCAGGCTGGTCTTGAACTCATAACGATCCTCCTGCCTCAGCCTCCCGAGTGCTGGGATTACAGGCATGTGCCACCAGGTCCGGCTTCCAGAAAGTTCCTAGAAAATAATTACTTTCACCTTAAAAAAATTCTCTAACCTTCTTGTTTTGGGAAGGAGGCTCAAACCCTGGCCCTTTGCGCTAGGTCACATCCCTAGCCCTTTTTTAATTTTTTATTTTGAGGCAGCATCTTGCCAAGTCATTACATTGCCCAGGCCAGACTCAAACTTGAGACCGTCCTGCCTCAGTCCCCTAATGTTCTGGGATTACAGGTGTGCACTACCATTCCCAGCTCTCCTACTGCCTGAGAGGAGATAGAAATGTGGGCAGAGGCTCTGCCAGCCTCTCTGCCACCCTGTCTTCTAGAACAGTCTGGGTGGGAGTCTGTAGCTGGGCACGAAGGGTTGTAGAGGTAGGCAGGCCCCAGAGACACAGCTGGCCTGGTGGAAGCAAAGGTCACTGGGTTGCTGCTGGGGTGGGAGATGAGGGGCCCCACTTCTGCCTGCCCTGCCCAGGCAACATCGTTGGGAACCCCCAGAACTGTCGGTGGAAAGGCCCCAAAAGAATCCGGGCTGCAGGTGTGTGTGTGTGTGTGTGTGTGTGTGTGTGTGTGTGAGAGATTGTTCTTCGTGCTGTGGTTGCCATGAGCGTTGGAAAGTTTGTACATGATAAATGAGGAACCAGAGGTAAAGCAGGAAGGAGAGCCGAGCGGGTAGCAAATACCTGTCATCCCAGTACTCTGAAAGACTGAGGCAGGAGGATTGCAAGTCAGAGCCCTACCTGGGCAACTTAACAAGACCTTGTTTCAAAATAAAATTTTAAAAATGGCTGGGGAGCCAGGTGTGGTGGCGCACTCCTGTAATCCCAGCGCTCAGGAGGCTGAGACAGGAGGATTGTTGGGAGTTTGAAACCAGCCTGGGCTACAAAGTGAGCTCAAGGCCAGCCTGAACTGCATAGCGAGACCTTGTCTCAAAAAGACCAAAAATAATGGTTGGGGATGTAGGAAAAAAAAAAAGGCAGCAGGTGGAGGCAGGTGGTAACCAGCTCTGCCTTGTTGAGTGGCTGAGGGACCTTGTATCAGCCTCATGCTGTCCCCGCCAACCCTGGGGAAAATGAGCCTGTGGCTTGGAGACTAGGATGGAGCTCTGCACGGGATACACAGGACACAGGCCCCTCACGGGGCACACAGGAGTTTTCCCCTCTGTCCCTGTGGATGGCAGTGAGTGGCCAAAGGCAGTGGTCAGTCGCAGGTGCAGGACCCAGGTATCCCCAGCTGCCCAGCCCTGGATCTCTCTCCGAGACCAGGAGCAGTGCTTGGGGCTGGCCGCTCCGAGGTGCAGAGGCCAGGGTGGCTCGGCCACCTAGCCAGCACTGGAGGGGACGTGGTGAGGGGACACTAGCTTCAGGGTGAGATGGTGGACACTCCAGCCTCGGAGTTGGGGTGTTTGGGGGCACGTGGTGTCTGTACCTGCACAGCCTGGCCACCTCTGTCTCCCAGCTGTGTGGCTTCAGATGTGAAGATTCGAAGAGCTGTCACCGTCCAGCCCCCAGGGGGTTGCCCACAGATGCTGCCCCAGGGGACACCAGGCCATGCCTGGGGACACATGTAGCTGTGAAAGAGCCCTTGGCTGGGCAACCTGCAGGGCCCGCGGGAGCATACCTGCCAGTGTCCCAGCGCCTGGGGGGCAGCCTGGCCTCCGGGCAGCCGTCTGCAGAGTGGAGACGTGATCTCCCCCAGGAAGGTGTGAAGCACCTGGCAAAGCGCGGTGGCAGGAGGTGCTGACGTGGCCCAGCCCGGAGCGGCTCCAGCACCCGGCCGTGGGCTCCACGCTGGCTGCGCCCCTGCCCCGGAGCACAGTGGACGCGCTTGTGGGAACGGTGCTTTCCCTGCCTGCGGGCGACCCCTGGGTGTAGCGTGACTCTACAACCTTTTGAGAGACAGCCGCCTTTCCCTGGGAGCTCCACCATGTCGCGTATCCGCCCACCATTTGTGAGGTCTCCCTATGCACCCCAGGCTGACCTCGAACTCATGGCAATCCTCCTGCCTCAGCCTCCCAAGTGCTGGGATTGCAGGCGGGCACCACCACCCTGGGCTTTGGAGGCTTAGCTCAGTTTGCAAAGCACTGCCGCCCCTGTGCAGTTGCTTCGCCTCTCTTTCCCCAGCCCCTGGCTCTGCAGCCTCTCCCTCCTCAGCTCCCCTCGGACAGTTCGGCTCGCACTGTCCTGAGTCTGTGTCCCTGAGGCAACCTGGGTGACACAGTACAGGCACAGGCCAGGTCACCAGCCGGCTGTGGCCCCTCGGGGGGTTCCTGGGACGCTCCTCACAGCCTCACAACCTCGGTGGCTGGAAGACATTTGTTTTCTCAGTCCCAGGGGCAAGAGGCTGATTTGAGGCCTTCAGGCATGGTGGGCTGCCCCTCCCAGGTCTGGAAGAACACAGTCCCCTAGCAGCCTGCTGCGCCCTGTTCAAAGTGCTGGGGGTAGAATCCGGGCCATCACACTGACCTGTGTCACCATCTTTTTTTTTTTTAAACCAGGACTTGCTAAATCACCCAGATAGGGCTCCAACTTATGACCCTCCTGCCTCAGCCTCTTGAGTAGCTGGGGCCTAGTGAAGCACTGTGTGTTGACCTAAGTCACCAGTTCTGCTGCAGCAGCCACAAGAGACACGTCACTGGTGCGGGGTCCCAGGGGACGGGTCACAAGATCACGCTCATTGGTCACGAAGGAAACTGACTCCAAAGATTTAAGCAAAAAATTTAAGTACTGGGGCTTTATCATATTTATTGTGTTTTTCTAAGTGGTCATTTATTCTAAGCAGGGTGCACGTCTAGGACCCAGCCCAGCAGCCCCCAGGGCCCCAGGTGCGTCCTCCAGCCTCTCATCCCCCACCTCTGCCACTTCCGTTTCTGCTGCTTCCTCTGCCTGTGTCCCTAACCCGCCACAAGGCCCCATAGGTCACAGCGTGGACCACAGCCAGGTCCACGCTTCCAGGCACCATCGTCGGCAGTGACAGACGTGACACAGGGCCCGAGAGGGGTCTCGTCTCCTCACCCGAGTGGGGACGGACACTGTCCCTGCTGGGCCAGGGGGACTTGTGGGCAGAGAAAGGCAGGCAGGAGAGGAGTACAGGCCCGGGGCAGGTGGCCATGCGCTGGCCACACCATCAGACTCTGCCATGCTCCTTGGGCTCACTTCCTTTTCTTCTCTCTCCTTTTTTTTTTTTTTTTTTTTTTTTTTTTTGGGGGGACTGGGGGTGGAACCCAGAGTGCCTGCACTGAGCTCTATCCCCAGCCCTTTTCATTTTTTATTTTGCTGTTTTTTTTTTAAGGCAGGATTTTGTATGTAATGTAGTTCCTGTCTTTGAACTCTTAGTGATCCTCCTGCCTCAGCCTCCCAAGTGCTGGGAGGACAGGCGTGCACCCAGCTGGAAGCATTGCCTTTGGTAACGTGATTAAATTAAGGTGAGGTCACATGCAGTCCTACAGGCCTTCCCCAGTGACTGGGGATTTGCACACGGTCATGCAGAGCAGCGCCCAGGAAGCCCAGGAAGGACAGGAATGTTTTATCTGTGAGTTTCTAGATCAAGACGTGGACAGGGCTGGCTCCTTCTGAGGTCATGGGAAGAATCTGATGCAGGCCGTATCCCCAGCGTCTGGAGATGGCTGCAGTCCTGGTTCTTCCTTGGCTTCTGGCCACCTCGTTCAGTATTGAGTGGCTGTCTTTACGTGGCCATGTGTGTCTCTACCATATCTTCCTCCCCTCTTTTTTTTTTTGCTACAGGGTCTCACTATATATTCTAGGCTGGTCTTGAACTTCCTATATAGCCCAGGCTGGCCCCAAACTCACAGCAATCCTCCTGCCTCAGCCTCCTGAGTGCTGGGGTTACATGCATATCACACCTGTCTTCTTCTTTTCTTTCTTTTTCCTTTTAGAACTGGCAGTGCTGAGCTAGATCCTAAACTTATTTTGAGTTTTTTATTATTTTATTTTTTCAGTACTAGGATTGAACTGAGGGAGGGCCTTCACAATGAGCTCTATCCCCAGTCCTTTTTTTTTTTTTTCCCCCAGTCCCTTTTATTTTTCATTTTGAGACAGGGTCTTACTAAATTGCTAAATTCCCCAAGCTGGGTGCAAACTTGCAGTCCTCCTGCCTCAGGCTCCCAGAGAGCTGAAATGACAGGTGGGACCATCATACCTGGCTTCTTTGTCTTTCCCAAGGACACTAGCCATTGGATTTAGTGCCACCTAGTCAGTCCAAGATGACCTCACCTTCGGGCTCTTAACCTTCTCACATCTTCAGAGACTCCTTTTCCATCTCAGGTCTGCCCCAGAGCTTCCATGGGTCAGGATATGGAGAGGATATGGGTCAGTGTGAGGAGAGTGGGAGGGAGGGCAGAAAGGCGAGATGTCTCAAGCCTCGAGCAGGCCCTAAATTCATTCCCTCTCTCTCGCTCTCTCTCTTTCTCTCTCTCTGTGTGTCACTGAATTTCAGAGCGCGGGGAAGAGCCAGGAGCTTGCCGAGGTTCTGCAGCAGCCGACCTCCCCCGTGAAGCAGCTCCGCAAGCCCCAGGGCCGAGATGTCCAGCCCGTTCCTGAAACAGGTCTTCCACAAGGACAAGACCTTCCGGCCCAAGCGCAAGTTCGAGCCCGGCACGCAGCGCTTCGAGCTGCACAAGCGGGCACAAGCATCGCTGCATGCGGGGCTGGACCTGCGACAGGCCGTGCAGCTGCCGCCGGGTGAGGAGCTCAACGACTGGGTGGCCGTGCACGTGGTGGACTTCTTCAACCGCCTCAACCTCATCTACGGCACGGTGAGCGACGGCTGCACTGAGCGCTCATGCCCCGTCATGTCTGGGGGCCCCAAGTACGAGTACCGCTGGCAGGACGAGCACCGGTACCGCAAGCCCACGGCGCTGTCCGCCCCGCGCTACATGGACCTGCTCATGGACTGGGTGGAGGTGCAGATCAACAACGAGGACATCTTCCCCACCAACGTCGGTGAGCTGCGGGCGGGCGCTGGGCCGGGCTCTCGCCTGTCCTCTCCACACAGCAGGCTGAGGCAGGAGGGTCCCCAAGAGGTCAAGGCCAGCCTAGTTACATGAGTCCAAGGCCAGCCCAGACCACATAGCCAGACGTTCTCTCAAAAACACACAACAACAAGAAGAAGAAAGTTTTAGCTCCGCTTTCTGTTTTTCTATTTTTTTTTTGTTTTGTTTTTCTAAATAATGTTTTGTTGATATATAATTCCTACCACATCATTCATACACACTCACCCTTTATTTCTTGTGGTACTGGGAAGTGAACTCAGAACCTTTGCCTTGCGCCCTTTTTGTGTTTTCCATTTTGAGAATAGGGTCTTGGTTCAGTTGCCCAGGCTAGGCCTGAACTCTAGATCCTCCTGTCTCAGCCTCCAAGGGCACTGCCATGCTGGGGGTGTGGTGCTGTCCCCGGCTTCATTCATTCTTTTAGAGTGTGTAACTCCGCCAGGTGTGGTGGCACATGCCTGTAATCCCAGCACTTGGGGAGGCTGAGGCAGGAAAATCTTAAGTTTGAGGCCAGCCTGGGCTACACAGCAAAACCACACACTACAAGGGGAAAGACAGGCTGCAGGCTGGTCACATCTCCCCACACCCTGGGGATCAGGCTGCATCTGGGGCCCGTGTGGCCCCTGGTCTCTGTCCTACACCGTGGGGTGGGAGTGCATGTGTCACGGGAGACGCTGTGAGTCTCCGCAGGCCTGGGGCCCAAGGGCTCCAAGCCAGTGTCTCCGAACTGCACGCCTTCGTCCTCGTGCTGGGGGCGAGGACAGCTCAGGCCTCCCGGGGCTGCAGTCCAGGCGTGGGCAGCAGGGCTGCTCCCTCCCAGCACACCAGGGAGAACCCGGGTCCCCATCTCAGCTCCTGGCGGCACCCACAGTCTTGGCTTCGGTGCTCACTGGACACAGGGCAACCTGGCAACACTGGCTGGATTGAGCGACCCTGTGTCCTGGGGAGAGATGCACAAACTCCTACAGTAACAGCTGTGGTCAGTGCTGCAGACGTCTGTACAGAGACCCCTGGAAAGAGCAGGAAAAACAGCTGTGGCGGGGAGATGGTAGCTGAGGCTCCTGAGGGAGCTGCAGGAGGTCGCTCAGGACAGGGAGAGGAAATTTGAGGAACTCTGTCTCAGTGAGGGTGACTAGGGTGTGGTTGCCCTAGTGTCTTTTTTTTTTTTTTTTTTTTTGAGACAGGGTCTCACTGTGTAGTTCAAGGTGGCCTCGAACTCACAGCAATCCTCCTGCCTCAGCCTGCTGAGTGCTGGGATGACAGGAAGGTTGGGCGAGTGTCTTCACGTCTCTGAGCCTCATTAGCTCACGCATCTGCAACTCAGAGGTGGAGCACAGCCTGCTGGGGCTGTAGCTGGGGGTCTCATGCAAACCTGGCCTCCCTGGTCCCCTTCCTTGGCCCTCTGCCCTCTCCAGGCACCCCGTTCCCCAAGAACTTCCTGCAGGCCGTGCGGAAGATCATGTCGCGCCTCTTCCGCGTCTTTGTGCATGTTTACATCCACCACTTCGACCGCATCGCGCAGATGGGCTCCGAGGCGCACGTGAACACCTGCTACAAGCACTTCTACTACTTCGTCACCGAGTTTGGCCTCATCGACACCAAGGAGCTGGAGCCACTGGTGAGCGGGGAGGTGGCCGGGAGGTGACAGGGACATGACCAGGACCCCGAGGCCTCAAAAACCCCCAAGAGCACGCCTGTCACTCCGGCACTCTGGGAGGCTGAGGCAGGAGGAGTACAAGCCTGGGCAACTTAGTGACTTAGGGAGACCCTGTCTCAAAAAATAAAAGGGCTGGGGGTGCAGCTTGGTGCAGAGGCCCTGGGTTCAGCCCTCGGTGCAGTTTAAGATAAGAAAAGGAACCTACAGGAGTGGCAGGGCCTGTTGCCACCTGTGCTCCGTGCTCCCCTCTGCGGGCATCGCGGGGACACGGCCGCCCCGGTGCAGAGTGCCCGGCCGAGTCCCTGAGCAGGGGCTGGCGCTCACAGTGGCCATCTCCGCCATGCTGCCCCCCACAACACCCAGAAGGTGGAGGCCCCGAATCCTTGGGGCCACCACACCAACCCCACTTCAAGTTCCCCGTGGACCAAGCACCGGCACCAGTGCCCCGTGGTATGGGTCCCTGCGCTCCACGTTGGACCTGGAGATGGGGATGGCAGAGCTCCGCCAGGACCCCTGCTGGCTTTCCCAGACACTCCTAGTGCTCCTGGACTGGGCATCTGGTTGCCCAGCAATGCCCTCGCCCCAGCTGGATTGTGAGGAGCAGCTTTTCTAGTTGTTGTGGTTTTGGTTGTTTTTGGATACAGGGTCTCACTAAGTAGTCCAGGCTGGTCTTAAACTCATGTGTAGCCCAGGCTGGCCTCAAATTCACAGTGATCCTCCTGCCTCAGCCTCCTGTAATGGCCGCACACCTGGCTTCCCATGTGTGTTAACTGCGTGGCCTCCTGTGTGTGTGTCTGTGTCCATGTCCTGTTCACTCTTCACAGAAAGAAATGACTGCTCGGATGTGTCACTAAGGCCTAGCCAGCCTCAGAGACTCACAGAAGGGCATCTTTGAGACTCCGATGGCTTCGATCACTCCAGCTGGGTGTCGTGGGGACTTTTGTTCCTTGCCGGCTGGCTGCACAGGGTTCTCAGAAGCCTGCGACCATGGATTCCTCCCTCTGTGGCTGCCTCAGCTCCCATCTGCCCAGGAGGAGGCAGGACTTGAACTCCGGGCCCAAGTGTCCTCAATGACCAGGAAACTGTGTCTGTGAGCACCCTCCCACCCAGGCTATGGTGTCCCCTCCTCTGAGGACGTGTTGCCTACCGCCCAGGAGGGAGCCTGGCTGCCATTCCTCATCCCAGCCCATTTCCGAAGAGGTACTGCTGGACCCCCTCGGGACCTTTGTCACCTGGTGTCCCTCTCTTGCCACCTCAGTTCCTTCAGCTGCCCCAGAAGCCTGGGCTCGCTCCACCTTGGGTCTGTAGACTCAGGCACTGAGCCTAGTGTAATACTCCTGCCTCAGCCTTATCTTGAAGCCCTCTTCACATGTGAATAAGAGATTTAATTTGTGGTAGCCTCATTTATAAGCATCTTGACATGTTCTTAAAAGTGTTTTAAAACTGGTTGTAGTGGCCCACACTGGTAATTCCAACACTTGGGAGGCTGAGGCAGGAGGATTGCCTAGAGTTCAGAGCCAACCTAGGCTACCTAACCAGACCCTGTCTCAAAAAATACGGGTTTATTTAAAACCAGTAAACACAAGCCTACTCTCTCTCTAGAGCTATCTCCCTCCATCACAAGGGGCCCAGGAATGAATTCCCTTGTGGAAAATTCCCTCATCCACCCTTGCCCAAGAATTGCTGTACCCTGGGTGCCTAAAAACCTTCCGGCAAAAGCCATTGTGTAAGCTGGTGTGGTAGTGCCTGCCTGTCATCCCAGTGCTCTGGGAGGCGGAAGCAGGAGGTTCAAAAGCTGGAGCCCAGCCCCAGCAATGTAGCAATGTAGCAGGACCACAAAAACAAAACCCAACAAGATAGCTGCTGTCTGCATGGCCCCTGCTGGGCCAGAGGGTCTGACCCCAGTCTTCCCTTTGAGACCCCAATCTCAGCCTTTGGGGGGCCGGGAGGGCGGGGCCCAGAGGGAGCCACACCTGGCCCAGCTGCTCCCCACAGGAGTCACCAGTGGCCTTTGACCCCAGCAGCCCTTCCCTGTCCGCACGCTGTACCTGACTATGCAGAATCCCTTCGTTTGTGGTGCCTGGGGTGCTTGCAGCTGTACAAGTGCAATTAACACGGTGGCACAGCTGAGCACAGAGCTCTGGGGACCCAACCTCCGTCCCCCAGAAGTTACCAGGCAGCGCTCAGAGCCCCAGGACTCGGCTGACACAGCGGCCTGGCTGTGCCTCCTGGCTGCAGGACCACTCCAAACCTGCCGCCACCCCACCCCTCAACCCTGCTGATGTCCCAGCAGCCCCTGGGGCTGCCCTGGGAGAGATGCCCAGCTGTCCCTGTCCCCAGCACCTTGCTCCATCCTGCCCCTGAAAATACCGCCTCCCAACCTCACCCCAAACATGCGAATAAACTCCTTTCGGTACCAGGGCTGCTGGCTGTCTTTCGCATTTCCCATGAGGGACACCCCCAAAGTGCAAGGGTGGCATTTAAACTTCAAGAGCCAGTGTGGGAAATTGGGGCAATTAGGACAGAGGCATCTAGGAAAAAGAGGCAGATGAGGGTGCAGTGGTGTACATCAGCAACCCCAGCACCCTGGGAGGCTGAGCAGCAGGATTGCCGAGTTCCAGTCGCCTGAGTGATTAGTGATTTAGGGAGACCCTGTCTCAAAATAAAAAAGGCTGGAAATGTAGCTCAGGCAAAAGCCCTGGTTCCCTCCCCAGCTGATACAAGGTTTCTTTTTCTGTCTTTCTCTGTCTCCCTGTGTTTGTGCACGTGCGCTGGGCAAGTGGTTTGATTTGGCTTGGTTTGGTTTTTTGAGATAGGGTCTCACTATGTAGTTCAGGCTGGCCTTTAACTCACTGTGTAGCCAGGGTGACCTTCAACTCACAGCAATCCTTCTGCCTCAGCCTCCTGAGTACTGGGTTGACAGGCATGTGCTACCATGCCTGGCTATGGCCATCTGGGTTTCTAATTTTTATTTTGCCTGATCCCCTTCAGCTCTTACCAATGTGACTTTTACTCTGGACCATTTAGTTTGTAAAAGAAAAGGAAGCAGAAAGTTTAACCAAGTGCAAAGAACACTTTATAGGCGCACACCTATAATCCCAGGACTCAAGAGGCTGAGGCAGGAGGATCACTACAAGTTAGAGGCCAACTCATTCTACATAGTGAGTTAAAGGCCAGCCTGAACTACATAGTGAGACCCTGCCAAAAAAAAAAAAAAATCAGCCAGGCATGGTGGCACATGTCTGTAATCCCAGCCCTCGGGAGGCTGAGGCAGGAGGATCACTACAAGTTAGAGGCCAACTCATTCTACATAGTGAGTTAAAGGCCAGCCTGAACTACATAGTGAGACCCTGCCAAAAAAAAAAAAAAATCAGCCAGGCATGGTGGCACATGTCTGTAATCCCAGCCCTCGGGAGGCTGAGGCAGGAGGATCATTGAGAGTTCGAGACCAGCCTGGGCTGCAAAGTGAGCTCAAGGCCAACCTGAACTGCATAGCGAGACCCTGTCTCAAAAAAAGACCAAAACAAACAAAAAGAAACGAGAGAAGAAGGCAGACTGCTCCACCAGGTCCCTTCCCTGCTCTGGTGTCTTGACATGGGAGAAATTTACCCTAAAACCTTTTCTTTTTGTAGTGCTGAGGATAGAACCCAGGACCTTTTGCACACTAGGCAAGTGTGCACTACTGAGCTGCATCCCCAGGCCTTTTTAATTTTTGAAATAGACTCTAAGTCGCTCTCATTGGGCCGGGGATATAGCTCAGCAGCACAAGCGCCTGCCTGGCAAGCACAAGGTCCTGAGTTCAATTCCTGATAGCAAAAAAAAAAATAAAAAGTTGCTCCTGTTGCTCACAGTGGGCTCCAATTTGCTGCCCTCCTGCCTTAGCCTCCCAGAGTGCTGGGATGACAGGCCTGGGCAACCTTGCCTGGATCTTTTTTTATTTTGTTTCATTTTTTTGACCTGTGAAAAAAGTGGGTATGTGATAATAATCTCAGAGGCCCTTTCTGTACAGTGCCGCAGCTCATGGGCTGACGTGGGAAGCAATTTGGACAGCAATTGGTCCTCCAAGATGCTGCCACAGCCAGTGTTGTGGACCCCCGGGAGTTAAGCCAAAACCGCCAGTGCCCTTTGGGTCCTGTGCTGCAGCTCCCTGTCCCTAGAGGGCGCAAGGCCCCACGAGGCCAATGAGGCCCGCTCCTCTCAGAGCAGCCACTGAGGGCATTCTCAGCCTTCTGTCCCCTCAGCGTCCCGGAGAGGAGGGGAGGGACAGAGTCCTGGCTTTAGGGTCAGTAGGGCAGGCACAACAAGAAGCGTAAACTAATAAAATGCAGGCTTCCCACATCTGGATGGAGACAGCGCTTGCTTGTCACCCACGGACAGGCTCCATGACTATGGTAGGTGACTACGCTAGTTGGCTGCATTAGTGAGCTACTGCTGTATAAGGAGTCACCCAGCAGGGAGCAATGGCAAACGACCCATATGTCCTCCCCCAGATTTTTTTTTTTTTTTTTTTT